ACACAAAACGCATAATAAGTGTGGTAAGGGAATTAGGGCCCGCTTCGTTGAATGATGTAATGATTTGGAGGAAATTTTGGGAATGTGAGAAAAAGAGAGATAAAAGGAGATGATAAAAGAAAAGGGAATGAGGGGCCAAAAGAAAATAAGAAAGAAGATAAATGAAGAACGAAAAGATTTTTGCAAAAAGGGTAGGACAAAAATGAAGCAAAATTGTAAACACGAAGGAATGCGTTTGCATTCATGAGTCATCGCCTAAAAAAAGTGGAGAAAATATTATATAATATTATAATTAGATTTGCATATTTTACACCCTAAATACGTGTCATTTTTATAGCGAAACGGCTATGCAGGGATACTGGTGGGTGCAGTAAGAGTTGTACAAATGGTGGGCTGAATAACTGTCTGTTTTATGCTACTATTTAAGGATATGTTCGGGAGCTTGACGGTGGAGCGGGCTCGGCAGCTGCTTCAAGAGACATGTGGCAATTTGGAGGAGGCGATTGAGGTGGCGTTCGAGGAGACCAACGACATGCCAACTGCCTCATCTTCAAGCTCAGACTTACTCGAGCCGAATAATCTTAGCCCATCCGAAAATGGCTGCCCCTCACCGGATCATCTCGACCCATCCCAAAACGGTTGCCCTTCGCCGGCGCCCAGTTCGTCGTCCGTTGCGGCCGCATATCGTTTCCTTCTAAATGACGCCCCGTCGAATAGGCCGGAACGAGCGAATACAGAGTAGGTCTTGTTTTTATGCGTTTTGTTTATGAAAAACGCAACATTTTCAAGCTGCTGTTTACTTTACCGCACAAATTTTTTGTCCACAGGTGGAGCGTGGTGTATTGAAGCTTGCATTGTTGCCCCCTTTGGCCTCGCGTGCCTCATCCGAGCACCCCGCATCGGCCACTCTCTTTCAAAAAAAAGCTGATAATGATGCATAGGAAGCATATTAAGAGCGGGCTATATGCCAAGCGTACGTGGCATTTAAGAAGCAGTCTGGCAGTATTTTCACAGAATTCGCAAATTTAAAAGGGGACGGGGAAGAGGGCAGGGGCGAAAGGAGGGGGCAGTATAATTATTGGCTCAGTTAAAAGAATTATTTACAGGCCAGTGGTTCTGAATCTGAAGATAACGATATCCGAAGAGGGCGTTCCGCAGCGAGAAATCAAGCATCTCATTACCAGCATTTTAAACAACGTGCGTTTGCGAAAATTTTTTTATAAAATTTTACCTAAATTTATTCAATTGAATAATAAATGCGTCAAAATCACCTGCTTTGTTTGATGTGAATTTACGTTTATTTAAATATTGTATCTGTGTATCATACTTGTATATTTATATGCCATATATATCATGCCTACGTATTATATTTGTATGTTACATTTATATATTACATTTGTATACTATATTTATACATTATATTTACATGTTATATTTATATATTATATTTATGAATTATGTTTCTGTATTATGTTTGTACGTCACATTTATGTATTGTGTTTATATATTATGCTTATATATTAT